GGATCGACGCCTCATTTGCATCCGAGCCTTGACCAAAGTGATCTGGATCTTAAACTCGAGCTGCCTGAGCACATAGTAGCTGCCCGAGAACTAATTGGAGTGGACACGTGTTGGACGTTCAATCAATTCAACTTCAAACTCCGCATCAGCTCCGAAAAGGAACGGCACGACACGGGGCACAAGCTTACGGTGCCACAGGATGTGCCCGGGCCGCAAGAGGGGATGCGCCAGGAAGCGTGTCAGGGGACGTATGAGGGGACGTGCCCTGGACGTGTCAGGGTCCTGCCACGGGACGTGCCGAGGCGCGTGCCATGGGGCGGCCAAAGGACGTCATGCCAAAGAACGTTGCAATGGGGCGCGCCACGGAACGGGCAAGGGAAACGCCTGGGGATGAGCCAGGAAACGCGATACAGGACGAGCCAGGGAACGTGCCACGCCGAGTGGCGTGCTGGGGGACGTGCCATGGCACGTCACGCCAGAACGTCGCACGGGACGCGCCAAGGGACGCGCCAGCGCGCCAGGGGACGCCGCACGGACGGGCGGACGGGCGGGGTTTGACTGCGATGCGCTCTACTGCGACAAGCGTTTTGCGTGAGACATCCTCAACACATCCTCATGTTATACATCCGCCTGGGCGACCTGGGCACGTGAAAATAAGCGTATCGCTCGAGACATCTTCAACACATCCTAATTAATGTGAGACATCCGCCTGGGCGACCTGGACACGTGAAACCAAGCGTCTCGCTCGAGACGTTCTCAACACCTCCTCATGCTAGACATCTGCCTGGGCAACCTGGACGCGTGAAACCAAGCGTCTCGCTCGTAGTTCCTGCCTAAATCCTCATGTTAGACATCCGCCTGAGCGACTGGACAAGTGAAACCAAGCGCTTTGCTCAACACATCCTCAACACATCCTCATGCTAGACACCCGCCTGGGCGACCTGGACACGTGAAAATAAGCGTATCGCTCGAAGCATCCTGCCCACATCCTCATGTTAGACATCCGCCTGGGCGTCCTGGGCACGTGAAAACAAGCGTTTCGCTCGAGACGTTCTCAACACCTCCTCATGTTGAAAAACCGCCTGGGCGACCTGTACACGTAAAAACAACCGTCTCGCTCGAGACATCCTCAACAATCCTCATGTTAGACATCTGCCTGGGCGACCTGGACGTGTGCACACAATCGTCTCGCTCGAGACATCCTCAGCACGTTCTCATGCTAAACATCTGCCTGGGCAACCTGGACGCGTGAAACGAAACGTTTCGCTCGATACATCCTCAAGACCTGGGCCGGTGAAAACGAGCATTTCACGTGAGACATCGTCTGAATTCTGGTCCCCAGGAAAGGAACAGCCTATAGCACAAAACAAGCGTTTCGCTCGAGACATCTTCAACACATGATAAAAACAAGCGGTTCGCTAGAGACGTCCGCAACGAACGAACTTGATGACTTGACCATGTGTCTTATCGATCGAAATTTTAACATGATCGACCCACGAACCTGGAGAGGAATATAGAACTGTAACGCATGGCAGCGTTTTCAAATACACCTGATCGGGTGACGGGCAACTGCAATGCTGAATGTATCGATCTTGATGTACCCTGTCGAGGGCTGTGCTGTGCTGCGCCGTGCTGAAGTGCGTTGTGCCATGCCGCGATTGTGCTCTATAGCGTCGCGGATCGAGTCCTCCTTTGCATCCGAGTCCTTACCGAACTGATCTGGATCTTAAGCTCGAGCTGCCTGAACACATAGTAGCTGCCCCAGCGCCAATTGACAGGAGGACATGCCAGGAGGACGCGCCGCGGAACGCCTCAAGGGACGCCCCAGGCGACGTGCCAAGGGACGTGCCATGGGGTCGCACCGCAGGACGTGCCAACGGGACGCGCTACGGAACGTGTCAATGGATGTGCCACAGGATGTGCCAGGGGACGCGCCACGCGACGTGCCAGGGGGACTCGCCAAGGGACGTCCCTCGGAACGTGCCAAGTTGCAATGCTGAGTGTATCGATCTTGATGTACCCTGCCGAAGTCTGTGCTGTGCTGCGCCGTGCTGAATTGCGTTGTGCCATGCCGCGATTGTGCTCTATAGCGTCGTGGATCGAGTCCTCCTTGGCATCCGAGTCCTTACCGAATTGATCTGGGTCTTAAGCTCGAGCTGCCTGAACACATAGTAGCTGCCCCAGAGCTAATTGTCAGGGGGACATGCCAGGAGGACGCGCCGCGGAACGTCTCAAGGGACGCGCCAAGCGACGTGCCAGGGGTCGTGCCATGGGGTCGCACCGCGGGACGTGCCAACGCGACGCGCTACGGAACGTGCTGGGGACAAGCGTTTATCCTGTCAAAATCCTCATGCTAGACATCCGCCTGAGCGACTTGGACACATGAAAACAAGCGTTTCGCTCAACACATCCTCAACACATTCTCATGCTAGACATCCGCATGGGCGAACTGGACACGTGAAAATTACTCCGACGGAAGAACCCCGCATAATAATCCTCTGGGCGAATCTGGAAAAACCATCACCGTCGTCCTCGTGGTTGGTGAGGCGTCCTGGCTGTCTCTTCTGCGTATATGTCCTGTCGCCTTGGCGCGGGCCCCCCTTCCACTCCTTACGTTGTCCCCATCCTCGCCCCCCTGTTTGTTCCGCGCCCCGCCACCTCCTCCCCTTCCTGTTGCATGAGCGCGCATGTCGATGTTCATCGGCGCCGTCGCCGCCACGGCCAGCACAGGCGCGTTCTCTACTGGTCACGTCGCGCAGCCGTTGGGACAACCCCGCGGGCCAGGCTGTCGGGACAACCCCGCGAGCCGTTGGCGCGCAAGACCAAGCCGTTGGGACAACCCCGCGGGCTTCGAGCGAGGCGCAGCCGCGCTCAGGCGGAAGGCAGCACGAAGCCCAGCTCTGCCGCGAGCTGCTTCGCCTCCGCCCTGGACAAAACCGCCTGAGACTTCCTCCATATTCAGGCTTGAGGAGCCCAAAAGTGACGACAGTTACAGGGTTCCGATGACCCGCTCGGATTACCAACATGATCTGCGGGCCCCATAGGGAGGGAGCTCCCGCCTGAGACTTCCTCACAATTCACTCAGAGACGAGGCTCCCGCCTGAGACTTCCTCCAAATTCAGGCTTGACGAGCCCAAAAGTGACGACAGTTACAAGGTTCCGATGACCCGCTCGGATTACCAACATGATCTGCGGGCCCCATAGGGAGGGGGCTCCCGCCTGAGCCTTCCTCAGAATTCACTCACAGACGAGGCTCCCGCCTGAGACTTCCTCCAAATTCAGGCTTGAGGAACCCAAAAGTGACGACAGTTACAGGATTCCGATGACCCGCTCGGATTACCAACATGATCTGCGGGCCCCATAGGGAGGGAGCTCCCGCCAGAGACTTCCTCCCAATTCACTCACAGACGAGGCTCCCGCCTGAGACTTCCTCCATTTTCAGGCCTGGGGAGCTCAAACGTGACGACAATTACAGGATTCCGATGACCCGCTCGGATTACCAACATGATCTGCGGGCCCCATAGGGAGGGGGCTCCCGCCTGAGACTTCCTCACACTTTACTCACAGACGAGGCTCCCGCCTGAGACTTCCCCCAAATTCAGGCTTGACGACCCAAAAGTGACGACAATTACAAGGTTCCGATGACCCGCTCGGATTACCAACATGATCTGCGGGCCCCATAGGGAAGGAGCTCCCGCCTGAGACTTCCTCCCAATTCACTCACAGACGAGGCTCCCGCCTGAGATTTCCTCCATTTTCAGGCCTGGGGAGCTCAAAAGTGACGACAGTTACAGGATTCCGATGACCCGCTCGGATTACCAACATGATCTGCGGGCCCCATAGGGAGGGGGCTCCCGCCTGAGACTTCCTCACAATTTACTCAACGATGATGAGGATGAGGATGATGAGTGGTGGTGAAGATGAGTGGTGAAGAGGATGATGATTGATTGTGAGTGGTGGTGGCGATGATGATGTTTGAATGAGGATGATGCCGATGCCGATGATGATGATGATGATGTTCATGAGCGTGTGAGAGAGTGCGAGTGATGATGATGATGAGTATGTGAGTGACTAAGCATGTGAGAGAGCATCATCGATGATGCTGATGAGGTTGATGATGAGAGAGTGTGAGTGAGTGTGAGTGGGTGTGTGTGTGTGTGTGTTCCTGTTCCTGCGCGGGGTGTCCAGAGAAAACAATAACCCCACTTTGGATGTGGGGAACAAATGGTTCGCTCGAGACATCCTCAACACATCTTCATGTGAGACGTCCGCCTGGGTGACCTGGGCACGTGAAAACAAGCGTTTCGCTCGAGACGTTTTCAACACATCCACATTCTAGACATCCGCCTGGGCGACCTGTACACGTAGAACCAAACGTCTCGCTCGAGACATCCTCAACACATCTTCATGTTAGACATCCGCCTGGGCGACCTGGACACGTGAATACAACCGTATCTCTCGAGACATTCTCAACACATCCTCATGCTAGGCATCCACCTGAGCAACCTGGACACTTGCAAGCAAGCATCTCGATCGAGGCTTCCTCGACACATCCTCATGCTAGACATCCGCCTGGGCGACGAGGACGCGTGAAACCAAGCGTCTCGCTCGAGACATCCTCAACAAATCCTGGCGCTAGACCTCTGCCTGAGCAACCTGGAGGCGTGAAACCAAGCGTCTCGCTCGAGACATCCTCAAGACTTGGGCACGTGAAAACAAGCATTTCACTTGACATATCCTCTGAATTCTGGTCCCCAGGAGAGGACAATCTACAACACAAAACAAGCGTTTCGCTCGAGATATCCTCAACAATTTCTGAAAAACAAGCGTTTCGCTCGAGACGTCCTCAAAATTTGAATTCGCCAGCCCTACACGACCTCGTTATCTATCGCGGAATAATTTGTCGGCCCTAAAGCCGTCAGAACCGGGGGTAAACACACTAAAAAAGAACCCTGGGCCCCGCCCTTTCCGGGAAAAAACAACGTTTCGCTCGGGACGTC